AAATCTATCAAAAAGAGAAGCCGTTCAGCGAAGAGACTCTTTTCGCCGGCGAATTCATTCACATAGCTGTACAATCCCATTTATATATAATTATTTGTGTGTGTGGGTGTGTACAAGAGGTTTGTCAAGTTTAGATAATTGATCAGGTAATACAAGAATGATCTAATATAGAAACAAAGTTAATCAGACAGCAACTAAAGTAGGATTGAGTTAGTAAGTTAGATGACGTAATATAATTGATTAAAATGTTTCAACTTAGGCCAGGGTAGCAACAGAGGTAATTACAGGTAGAGAGAGACTAAGTAGAAGTGGGGTAGAGAATAATGCCATTTAAATTAGAACTGAAATTCAGCAAATACGCTGGATGACGTAATATAAATGACTAGAAATTGAACGTTGATCAAGTCAGTAACAGTGGTAGTGGGGTGTAGAAATTAAATCGGGTGGGCGTAGACGACAAGAAAGTTGAAAATGTAAAATATTACAATTGGGAAGGAAAATTAATACTAATGAAGAGACATAAAAAAGAGATTAGGTGGAATTGAATTGTCAGGTAATAAGATAGATTACGTCCATTGCAAGTGTAGTGATTGAACGAAATTCTTCTGTATGCAGAGTTCAGGACTTAGCAAGTGAATCGCCATTGCTTCTGCAGTTTGAAGAAGTCTGATTCGTACACCTTTAGGAAGACTACTTCTTACTTTTTAGGCGACTATAAAGTCGTTCTTGCGTGCGTGTCTTCGAAACACAACATACATCCATGGCTCGAGATGCCAGAGTTCGTGCTAGTGATGCTTGTTATCCGATTTAGCAGAGGGTCCTAACGTTGAATGCTCCTATATGAAGTTGGCGACGTGTCTGGGGAGTTTCCATGGCTCTCAATGTTGTTTGTAGTCACAGAGTGAAGTGAAGATAACTCACTAGCCTGCATAATAGTACGAACTATAGTAGGGAAGATTTTGAGGCTTATGTCGATTGTAGGGGTCGACCTTTTCTAACCCCCTCTTTCCAGAGTGGAGAAACCGCATAGCTGGCATGCTGGTCGTTTGAGGGAAACACCTTACTGCTGCTTCACCCCTGTTCCCCAGCAGTACGACTTCGCGCACAGATCCCAAGCATAGTGTAAAAAAATTCTTACATTATGCCGGTAACTGCTTTTAGTCCAGTCGCTATCCTAGCAATCTTCCTGGCATGGTGCGACCTGGAGGAACAATAGTTCCAGTGAGTGTAGCTTATTAAGTCGTTGCGGTATCCAAGCTCGACCACCACATCAAGGTAGCAGCTATCGGTCGGGGGTCAAATATAAAGGTCAAAGTAGCACATCGGGGTCCGTCAGACTAGCGGAGCATAAAATCCTAGCAAACTCTAGATTAGTTGACCCTAATAACATAAGAAATCTGGAGAACAGTTCAACTATAGCACTACATGCAATTAAACACAAACATGCAATAGGACGGGATAAGATGAGTTTCAAAATCTGATGTAACATGGTAGAGGGAGAGATTGGTGACGTAAGTTTTGTTTATCAAATCAACTGCAAATACGAGTAACAGGAGTGATCCAACTCCTGGAAAATTCTACTATCCGACGACAAGCAGGAGAGAATAAAGAAAACTACAAAACGAAAGTTTTGAAGTTCTGTATTGATATGACTATGAACAATAAATTGTGTTCGAAACGTCATCCAGTAAATAATACTGTTTCACTGTGTGATATATCTAATAAACAAATTAATGTGGAGATACATACTACCACAGTGCCCAAGTTTTACTTATATATATTAAAATATAATCCCTTCGATAACATACAGGAGTAAATACAGCTACACAGAGCACAATGGCTAATAGCTTATACATAGGCATAACAATAAGAAGTGAAAGACCTATAGGAAGATAAAATGAGAAATCAACTGCATTGCCATCATCAAACTTGAGTTTTAGTTAAAAGTCCTAATGGTCAATTCTTGACATACACCAAATGTTGAAGATTACATTCTGCAGTGTGACCCAACAAAAAAGTCATGGGTCTGTCTCTTGAGACCATGTTTTCGTCTCATTTACTTGGGTCCTTTATTGACCCACTCTCGATTCGAAAAATAAAGAGGAAAAGTAGTAACCATTCGTTTGATACATAAGACCGATTTCTTAAAAACTTCATTCGATATAAATTTACTGCTTCATCCGACTACTCACCTTTACCTAAAAGCTTTACTCGACATTGATCACTCAATTACCTTACAGCCTTGTGAGTGCATTGAATACTTGCAGTGTGAACTTCATAAGGTTTTGCATTCAAAAGAAATATTTATCGAGGACTGCAGAAAATATACAGACAGATCAATAGTATGCTAACCAGTATGTATGTTCTGATGCCAATTACTGTATCCTACAGGAACATTTTGAAAATCACAACTCTGTGATCTATGCATTGGATTGAAGATAGTTAGTCGGGAAAAGAAATGCAGAAATAATCTACCCGAACTTCAGCTATTCGTGCAATACATTAAGGTAATCGCTCTGCATCAAGAATAACTTAAGGCATATAATTACAATGATGGGACTGTTACATATACACAGATTACAAAGTATTAGGCCAGAATAAAGTTTGACATCAGCTGGTTGCAATTAGTGAGACAATCTCGGAAAAAAATGGCACTATAATTAGCTCCCAGGATAGACGACTGGATCGTTGGAAAGAGCATTATGAGGAGCAGTTTAATTGGCCCACAGCCACGCTCAACCTTCCGAGCATCCAACACCTCCCTGAATGGGATATAGACACAGGTCCTCCGTCCCTAACTGAGGTTACTAAAGCTGTCACCAATCTGAAACTAGGCAAAGCAGCGGGACCTGATGGAATGACTCCAGAGGTATTTAAGTACGGTGGAGACAGCTTACTGTCCGGATTAACTGAGGTACTAGGCAGCGTCTGGGAGTCAGAAGAAGTCCCATCGGGTTGGTGTAAGTCACTGATTATCCCCATATACAAGAAGGGAGACAAGTCTTCCTGTGATAATCACAGAGGGATTAGCTTGACTAATATAGTATCTAAAGTCTTAGGCTCAATAATCATGCGTAGACTAAGTGGTGCTCGGGAGGCACAAACACGAGAAAGCCAGGCAGGCTTTAGACCAGGAAGAGGGTGTATTGATCATATCTTCACCCTCCGACAGATTCTAGAACATAGTCATTCCTACCGGCGTCCAACAGTCATTATATTTCTTGACCTAAAGGCAGCATTCGACTCTGTCGATCGAGAAGTTCTCTGGAGATGCTTGGCTGTAAAGGGAATGACGAGAAAATATATTGCACTGATTACGGCACTCTACTCGTACTCATACAGCCAGGTGAGGGCTTACGGCGAGCTGTCATCTGAACTGGTGACGACTAGTGGTGTCCGTCAAGGATGCCCATTATCCCCATTTCTATTCAACTTCATCATAGATGTGTTAATGGACTTAACCCTAACTCACTTCAGCGATTCAGGGATTGACTTGCTACCAGGGAGGGATAATCTCGTTGACTTGGAATATGCAGACGATATAGTCCTTCTAGGCGAAGACGCTGACGAAATGCAGAGTCTTCTAAACACCTTGAGCCGCAATCTACGAATGTTTGGCATGCGATTCGCTCCCGCCAAATGCAAGATGATGTTACAGGGCTGGACTTCATCGACGCCCAGTTTAAAAGTAGGAAGTGAAGTGGTAGAGCACGTTGACCGCTTCACTTATTTGGGAAGTACCATCAGCCCCAACGGGCTGATCTCTGACGAAATCTCAGCACGAATACAAGGGGCTCGTTTCGCATTTGTTAGTTTACGCCGACTCTGGCGTAGACGAGATGTTCGACTATCGACCAAAGGGCGGGTGTACTGCTCATCAGTCCGATCCGTCCTCCTTTATGGTTGTGAGACCTGGCCACTGAGAGTGGAAGACATGAAAAGACTAGCTGTCTTTGATCATAGGTGCCTGCGTTCTATTTCCCGTGTAAAGTGGCATAATAAGGTGAGCAACATGGAGATTAGGCGTCGAGTTCTAGGTAAAGAGGGGAAATCTGTCGACGAAGTCGTGAAGCTACAAAGACTGAGATGGTTAGGACATGTGTTACGTATGCCAAGCCATCGCCTCCCTCGACAAGCAATGTTAGCGGATATAGGGTCAGGCTGGAAAAAAGCTAGCGGCGGTCAAACAAAAACTTGGCATCAGTCAATGAAATCCACAACAGTTGGTCTAAGCCACGTAGAAAGGTGTAGACTTCCAGGCTGGGGTCCTCGGGACGGTAAAAATCTATGGTTGGAAACAATTGGTGACATGGCTCAAAATCGTTCTCAGTGGCGCAGATGCATCCACTCCCTGTGACTTATGATCTTCAATGAAACTGTTTTGTTTTTCTTTATTACTCCTTTGTCTCACACCTCTGCTCACTGTTTCTATTATGCTTTTCTTGTACTTTCTTCTCTTGCTTCGCGTGCTACACGGAATGTGGCGACTTGAACTTCCGCACATTTGTGCAAAGTTCTATGTCGAAAACAGACAGACAGACAGGTTGCAATACACCATTTTCAGACTTCATAATTACTTCAGTTTATGAAACACAGTCTATAACACTTTAGGAATAATCACTTAGCATGATTTTATTCCGAGGATAAAAATAAAAGGTATGAACTGTAGAGGTTAAACTGTCCTACATATGTACTTGTTATTACCTTACAAACGTCATAAATACGAATCGTTATTTTGACAAACATACGTTTGTCAGTTTCAAAATGAAATGAGTAGTTGTACAAATACAGACTTGACATAATGTTCTGAATTAGATTACACTGATCGGTGTAGCACGCCGTACGCAAGCAACAGTGATTCAAGCTTCTGTGTAAAAAAATGAATACATCTGCGTTCTATAGTCGAGTGTGAACGGTACCACAGAATCCATAACGAATGACTTTTAACAACTCTCTTAGCCCAGATTTCTCGCATATTATCTCAAACAAGAAATACTAGGTTACTAAAGACTCGAATATTTTAATCTCCTACATATACACTTAAGTGGCTAAGTATCAAGTGTTATAAACAAAATTAAAGAAGCGCGTCTTGAGGATGTGGACCTCAAATAACCAAGTTACAATTAAGAGACCAATCTTGTGAAGGCCATTATGACGAAAAAAATAAGTATTGTCATATGAAATACCATCTGACAACCCTGTGGAAATCTGCACATGAGAAAACATTAACACAGTAAGATGAGAATGAAATCAAGAAATATCAACAATCTATTTGCAGAAAGCATATCAAGAAAATAAGTTAAAGTTTACAGTAGGTCTATTATAATAGCTTAATTGATATGTAGCAGAAAAAAGAGGCACAAGATACAAATTATACATTGCGAAAAGAAAAAGTGATAGACAGAAATGTCTTTTTATGTACATTACATAAGGGGTGATTCCCAGAGAAGCAATTCTTAGAAAGACGAAAGCTTGAATTCAAATTTATCATACAGTACAAGATTCTTGTATGTCATAAAACTTCAATGTTTTATTTTGGACTTTCTGTTGAATGACCTACACTATCTCCGCAATCTTGTTGTTGCATTTTATGTTTTTCATAGTTTTGTTTACATCGAAATCTAACAAACAAACCAGGTGAATCATTCAGAGATTTGCGTTTCATACGTTTCTCTAACCAAGAAAGTCTGACCTGATGATTTGATCCACGTTCATGTGCTTGAAAGTATAAAATATTGTATGTTCCAGTTAAATACTTCAATAATATCAACATTAAGAAAATAAGCAAAAATAAGATTTCAAAGCAGCTAACTTATTCAATTCCGCTTTGGGAAGGAAATAATGACACGGAGAATAAAATAAACAGAAACTGAAATGTAATTTTGATTTAAGGATAAAACCTGGGCACTGTGATAGAGTGTAACTTCACTATGGATAAAATTTTATCCATGGTGGAAATGCAATTTTATAAAAGCAAACATAGGCTGGCTTTCTGACCTCATGACTGTTGGATACCGGGAAGAGTCATTATAAAACGCATTCACAAAAAATAGACTATGGCACTTTTCATGAGTTAGATTTTTTAACAATTCCAAACATGATCCAACTTGAAACAGCTTACTAAAGTTCAAATGTACAGTTTAATGCACGACAATAATAGAGAGACTAGAGAGTGGAATGCTGCTAATGTAATCAAGATAATTAAGACGATAGTGAATAACTAAAGGAGATTGGTAGGACGCTTATGATTTCAGCATACGGGCGTATAATGAAATGACACGGCTAGTTAAACTGTATACAACCAAGTCCAATTCCATTTGACAAGAGGTCGCCCAAAAATACTTGACACTACAACATACAATTCACATCCTGGTGGAATTTATCGGGATATAATGAATACTGACTACAGAATAGAGTTGAAGTTACACAAGCCGAATGTTTACACTGAAGTTTCTTCATATAGGTGACAGTTTATGAAAAGGAAAAAATGAAAGGAAAAAGGTATTGCTATGTTGTGTACTTGTCTAGACTACTAAGCGGTTGCAAACTAACCAGTTTCTTAAATATCAAACGTGACAGGTTGCTATACTTCAAGAGAAACAAGCATACATTTCTACAAAATCCAAATAAGTAACAGCCATTTTTTAAGTTAAAATCAGTGCTTACATTTACTACTAGTTAGAGGCAGCACATCTACATCAACTGGCTGTAGCATCGAACCCTTCTGCGAAAGTAACGAGTTAGTTTGAAGTAAGAGCAACAGGCACTGAAGACAGTCTGGTAAGCTATGATTGCTGCTACTTTTCTTCTTAAACGGAAACACTTTGTCAGTAAACACTAATATACCACGTATAGAAATGTAGGCTGTGTACTGTTACTGTCAACTTTATTTTTTGCACCACACTAAAAATTATAAAATACATCGTCTACGTCATTACTGTGTCTAACTTTTCGTGCATTTATTGCGAATAAACAAGCTGGGTTAACCAACAAATAATTTACGCTGATTTACTCTGAATATTATTTAACAAGTTAGTGTTGAACGACAAATCTTGAAACTATTACGTTCATATTTAAACTACAGAAGCATAATGAAAGACCTAAGGTAAGAAAAAAAATGCAGTGCTTTCAGACTTATTCGACTTCATTACCGACCACGATGAGTAAGTAGAGAAAAGTTACAACACTTGCTTCGAAAGTTGTCAGGAAGATAATCACTAAAAATATATGGATCACTTCGTGCATCATGTGATAGCACAAAACACATTTTGTACAGGAACGAATACTCTAAACGTAATATAAACTATTAAAGAATTTTGGGGACGTTGGGGAAGAATTTCCAGATTTTGGAAAACTTAGATTTCCCCAAAATCACACTCAGTTCGTTCTTACTTGACATAGTACAACTGTTGGCCCAAAATGAAAACCCGACTCACGTCTGTTTTTAAGACTGTTTGTTACTTCAGTATCTGACAGTGATGATGCTTTGTCACCTTCCGTGTCACCACGGTGAATAGAGTCATCCTCGGTCAAAACTCCATCAAGAGTTTCGAAGCTTTCCAAGAAAAGAGTACTTGCGTCCCCATCTTGCGGTTAGTGAGATTAAAAAATTTTTATTACCAGTTAATTTAGTAGAAAATCCTAACGGGGTACGAACAACTCCAGCAGACGGTGAACGTGGGTCGCCCTTGTCGATCTGAATTGGGGTTCTAACTATTCCCTCGCTAGGAGAACGAGGATCTACGCTGAGAACCCCAGATTGCTTGTACGGAATATTCAATGGAGGTGGTTGTTTATCCCTTTCTTTAGAGACAGAACTGGACCGAAAATCCAGATAATTGCCCATTAACGAAAATAACAAAAGCCGCGCCGCACTGGGCAAGTTGCGGAGTCCGCTGTGTTATAAAGCAGTATAGTGTTTACATGTACAACACGAAAATATTTATCTTGCATGATAGATGTGTTAGGAGCTTATTTTCATGAAACTGAAATAATTCTTTTCATTTACAAAGGTTATATATATATATTTGAAGTTGTATTTAACTTTTCCTGGTTCGTTTTAAATAAAATGCCTATTAAAAGAAACCGCTGCGGAAGGGCTATGTGCCAGTTTCCAGTGGATGAGGGAATGCAGTGTGATAACTGCAAGAGATGGTTTCACAGTATGTGCACGAACCTTACTCCAGCAGCATACAAACGCTGCTGCAAACCTCTAGCGAACTGGTTATGCAACGACTGCTGTAGTACAACTAAACTCCGTATTACAGAAGCCATAGCTACTCTTAGTGGGGCTTTAAAGCTCATGGACTGCAAGCGTCCTCCACCACAGAAGAATACCGACTATTGCTCAGATAGCGATGACGTGACTAGCGTCATTGACAAAACAGCACATGTCCCAGATGCGACCTTGCCAATAAGTGAGTGCTCTACAGCACAGAAGAACACCCACCATATTACAGACACCCAGGTCGCCCCCACGATACTGGATGAGCCCTCCAGTGACAGTAATGGAAAGACTGCCGTGAAGAAGAGGCGTACTAGGGGTCGAAAACCTGCAGCTCCAGTCGCCCAGGGACTGGCGGAACAAGCCTCATCCACACCGGTGAGCAGCAGACAGACGAACCCCACTAAGATTAGCGAGGAGGACGCCAATGAATGGCGCACCGTAGTCTCTCGCAAAAAGCGAGATAAGGATAACACTTCGGCCACACCGCCCAAGAAGGATAGAAACACACTTACGCCTCAGGGCAAGAAAGTCACGGAAAGCAAACCCGATCTCTCTGATAGGTCTCTCATTCTCCACAAAGTGGAGGAGTCACTGGCTCTCGACCCTAAGACCAGATTCGAGCATGACCTTAACTTGGTCAAGCCCCTTTTAGACAAGCTACTGCCACAAACAGTATCAGGCATTACTATACACAGCGTATACAGAATAGGTCAAAAGCCTGACCCTACAGTAAGTGAACCTGTACGTCTCCTCAAAGTCGTACTAAACTCTAAAGCGGAGAGGGACGCTATTCTAAGCAACTCTCATATTCTCAAAGGATCAGGGATATATGTCCGCGCTGACTTAAGCCTAGCAGACCGTGTCAAAAGACAGGCTGCGGCACTAGAATTAAGTGAGCGACGCCGGAACGGTGAGAAGAACCTTAAGATTAAGGGTTTTCGGGTTGTCCGAGTTCGCAGTTTAATGATCCCGAAACCTCTGTGGGTGGGCCGGGGAAGCACCAATCTGAATTAACAGTCTGCTACACAAACGCCCGCAGCCTGTTAAATAAAAGGACTGAGCTGGCAAACATGATAGAAACCGGAAACCCGGATGTAATTATTATCACAGAGACATGGCTCACACCCGATGTCACTGACAACGAAGTTAACCTGCCAAACTTCGAAGTGCACAGGGTAGACCGACTAAACCGCAAAGGAGGGGGCGTAGTCATCTACCTCAAGAAAGGCTTAACCGTGCGTAGTATCGAAGCACTCGCCCACGAAAGTGAGTCGTGCGAACTTCTACGCTGCAGACTTAAATGCATAGGCCAAGACATTGACCTCATTGCTGTGTACCGCAGTCCTGACTGCAGTGCAGACGACTTCCTAATAGAGAAGCTAGGCTCCTGGACTTCAAAATGTCGAAGTCTCGTAGTCGGTGACTTCAACGCCCCAACAGTTGACTGGTCGAGCCTAACAACTCCATCTTCAGTCAACTCCTTTGACCATAAACTGCTAGAATCTAGTATATCGCTAGCCCTAGTCCAACATATCATTAAGCCCACGCGCTATGACTCACAGCACTCCTCATCAACTCTGGACCTAGTGTTCTCACACGGTGAGGATGTGGATCTCATACAACATCTTCCTCCGTTAGGAAGAAGTGACCATGCTGTGCTCACTTTCAAGTTCACAGCAACGGCAGCAAGGGCCAAAACCCCAGCTCGACCAAACGTTTGGAAAGCTGACATAAATGCGATCGTCTCAGCAGCCAACTCAGTAAACTGGTACATCAATCCAGAGTCCCAAGTAGAAGCCGCATGGAACCAATTTAAGCAACTTTACGCCCAAGTAACTGTACCCTTCATCCCTTGGTCTGTTCCAAAGGGTCGGAAACATTCCCCCCCTTGGATAAACCGGGAGATTCGTAAGTTACTCAGACGTAAACGCAAATGTTGGAACCTGTTTGCAACACTTGAGACTTCTGAGACCAGGGAATTATATACTACTGCTAGAAATAAAGCTATCGCAGAAATCCGCCAATCAAGGATGAAGTTCGAGACACACCTGGCCCAAAATGCAAAGGCACAACCTAAGAAAATTTTCTCGTACTTGAATTTCAGGAATAAAACACCCAATGGTGTCCCAAACCTGATTATTGACAAAGATACAATCGAAGAAGATCAAGAAAAAGCAGAAGCAATGGCAAACTACTTCTCCCAAGTCTTCACTCAGGAGTCATCACTGCCTATAGGATCAGCTCTGGCTGCATCAGAAGAACATGGGATAGATTCCGTTGACATCGACCAAGGCATCGTGCTCAACTTCTTAATGAAACTAGATGCAGGAAAATCAATGGGTCCTGACAGTCTTCATCCAAGGCTTCTCAAGGAGCTATCAGCCCACATAGCCGGCCCCTTGACCACGATCTTCAAGCTATCTCTCCAAAATGGAGTGTTGCCACGTGATTGGAAAGACGCCATAGTAACCCCCATACACAAAGGAGGATCAAGACAAAGCCCTTCAAATTACAGGCCTATCAGTCTCACCAGCACTTTAATCAAGACACTGGAAAGAATTATCAAGAAAAGCATCATGGCTTATCTGGAAAATAGCAGCTTGTTATCTGGAGCACAGCATGGCTTCCGGAGGAACCTCTCATGCCTGTCAAATCTCCTGACTGCAAGAGAAAGCTGGGTCAAATCAAAGGATAACAGAAGACCCGTTGACGTCGTCTTCATAGACTTCAGTAAAGCCTTTGATAAAGTACCTCACAAAAGACTACTCATGAAATTGGAAAGTCTTGGTATCAAAGGCAGACTACTAGACTGGCTCAGGGAATTCCTCATAGATAGGAGGCAGAGGGTTAGGATCAACTCAAAACTCTCCTCCTGGACAGCAGTAAGTAGCGGAGTGCCACAAGGCACGGTTCTCGGTCCTCTCCTTTTTATTCTGTATATCAATGAGTTACCTCTGCTCACCGACTCCCCTATGGTCCTATACGCAGATGACTTAAAAATTTGGAGGGAGCTGAAGGGCAACAGTGATACGTCCACCTTGCAAGACGACCTCAACAAACTGTCGGAGTGGTCTGTTGAATGGATGCTCCCGATCAATGTGGCAAAATGTGCAACCATGCGCATTGGACAAGCAAGCACGAGCTCCTACGAACTAGAGGGAATAACACTTCCATCAGTTCAGACTCACTTGGACTTAGGTGTCATAGTTAGCCACGACTTAAAAACTACAGCACACTGTCGCGCGGTGGCTGCACGTAGTTTCAGGTCCTTATGGGCGATTCGCAGAGCCTTTACAAGAATTACCAGAGATATGTTCACCTCCTTATACACATCTCTGGTTAGGTCAAGACTGGAAAACTGCATCCAGGCCGCCAGTCCGTGTCTAAAAGGGGATTCACACATTCTAGAAAGTGTTCAAAGGAAGGCAACACGTATGGTTCACGGCATAGCTAACTTATCATATGAGGAAAGACTAGATAGTTTAAATCTCTTCTCACTGTCATACCGTAGGCAGAGAGGAGATTTAATCACAATGTTTAAAATTTTAAATAATGACTACGGACCTGACCTATTCTCTCTTTTCCTTCCCACCAGGTCGGAACACCTTAGAGGACATAGCAGGAGAGTTCAAAAGCCAAGGAGAAATCATATTGCTGTTGAGTACTGGTTCTCACATCGAGTCATAAACTCTTGGAACCGACTCCCAGAAGAAGTGGTGTCTGCAACCTCAACTGATTCGTTCAAGAAGGGTTTGGACAACCACAGAAATCTACTAGAAAAGGATTAACATAGGCTGCAAGCCTTCTATCCTCAACCAATAAATCTGAATCTGAATCTGAATTGGAAGCTCAGATAAAGGCTTTCTGTGGCATGTAACAGGTCTTCAGATTGTATTTACAAGCCTAACCGGTCAGTAACCAGTTGTCATTGCCACCACACCAACAGGAAGCCTTACTAGTAGTGCCGCCATTAGCCTTTTGCCTTTGTATAACGAGTACTGGTCCGAGATACCTTACTTATATACTCCGAGAAATATTCTCATAAGGAGCGTTGAAACCAATCCTTTAAGGGCCACGTTCACTATTCAAATGTTCAGAAATACCAAACATAGGCTATATTGTTATCAGTCGTGGACAGTGCTAATTATCCTTATGTTTCATTTTTCTGGTGGATTCATATTTGAATCACTCCTTTGGAGATATCCGTGCTGTTTTTCACCCACGTGTTCAACTGGGGAATTAGAAACGCCTTTTAAATTCAGGTTTATCCCGTCGAGTATTGAAGGTCATCGTATGAGCCTCTTACTTCCAGTGAAACCATTTGTTAGTGCTCTTACACATCTTAATTATTCCTTTTTCACTTTTTTAATGATATGATGATCGATCGAGTTTCAAACAGGAAATAGAGGTCATGACTCATGTATTCTGAGCCTTCGACTAAATGTGGACCCCTGACTCCTTTGAGTCCCCTTAGAATTAGTCGAAAACGAGTTACTCTAGTTGATAGTAGTTCAAAACCAAACTACCCGATGAACAGATAAATGACCGTGAGCAACCAATCAGATGAGCCTGCAGTATACAGGCGGCATTAAGGGTGTTTTGCACGAATTTAAGGATGAAATCAAACTACCACGCTGCTCGGAATGTGAACGCACAAGTGAACTTGAGCTGAATG